ACACTCGCTTCTGCCGAAGAATGTGGACAAACTTTGTCTTCGGAGCTGGAATCAAAATATGTCTTTGAATCGTTGAACCAGGCACGTAGCCAGGGGGGGGGGGGGGGGGGGGGGGTGTGGCACGGGGCCCGGCCCCCCCCCCCCTCGCAATATTTCATTTTGCTAGGGCCCCCTCTCCTCCCTCCCCCCAAACAGCATTTTGTCGTGGGAGGCCCCCCCCCTCCCCCCGCCCCGCCCCCCCCCCCCCCCCGAAGTAAAATCCTGGCTACGTGCCTGCGTTGGACTATATGTATCCTCAATTGTAAATGTGCTTTCCACCGTGTACAAAGAGTAAATTAAACCTTCAAAGACAAGACGAGTTGCCTAATTATTTTTCATATATTATTAAAAGAAATAATCAACGGAACCGACTAAGCGATTAATTAATCGATTAAAGGGTGGTGATTAATCGGTTTAAAAATTTTAATCAACGACCAGCCCATTCATTTTGAGGATGAAATAAATGGTCACTGTAGCAGTGTTGTGGAGTTGCCACTCCAGAGTTGGAATGATTCCGGAATCATTCCGCATTTTCACGACCCCGGAATGGAATGGGAATGGAATGGCGGCAACGTTGAGGGGAATGGAATGGGAATGGAATTAAGTGCCTTTTGCCCGGAATAGAATGGGAATGGAATGGGCAGGGTTCTTCTTCTTTCTTTGTTTTCTTTAGTGTTTACGGTCAGCTAAAGCGTGCCAGTCAGTGAGTCAGTTGCTCAGAAATATAATTTAAAGGCCGACTTACAAAACCATTTTCCGCAGGGTAGGAAAGTGCTCCCCAACAACCTTCGCTCCCTCCCCTCTCGCACTCCTTCCTCCTCCTCCCCTGAAAAGCGCGGGTCCTGAAGCTAGTCTCTGTGAAAAGGAGAATGGGTTTCCTCCTTTCTGGGTGGCAAGGAGGAAATCTCTTTACTCGCGGAAAATGGTTTTGTAGGTCGGCCTTTAACGGGAAACTGCTAGCCTGTGAGAAGCCCTAACAAACTTATACGCAAAAAAAAAAATGCAATTCAAAAAAAAAAGCGTCAAAGCAAAGATCAAAGGGGGAAAGGGGGGCAACGTGGTGACTTTCACGGACGCACAAGCGTCGGGCTTCGATGGCGTTACACGAGAGCGAAACAAGAAACCAAGCACCAAGCAAAAGAAAAGGGAGCGGCAAAGAAAGAAACCGCCATGCACAACTCCCCATCGTACTTCTTGTCATTCTTTTGTTGTTGTTGTTGTTGCAAGGGTTTGTAGAATGCACGCGCGCGCACAGACTGAGATCTGGGAGCGGAAGCGACTCATAACTCGCAGAGCTCTGATAACCCGTTGACTCGCGCGCCGTCGAAAGATGATCAGGTATTGTTCCTTTATAGTTCGGGTCGCGTTGTTTAGCAGGCAGGCAACCCTGCTGCCTTCCACGTTCATTCGTGCGCACTCCTTTGAAGTGCGAAATGTGGGTTTGCTTCGGCATTAAAACAAAGCGTGATTCAGTTCCCTCTTCTCCCTTGCGCCTTGCTCCGAGGCTTGTTTTTTTTGTACTGCATTTCTAGTGTATGTCCGACTACTACTTGGTCTTTGTTCCGATGCTTGTTTTTTTGTGTTATATGTTTTAGTGGGTTGGGATTACAAGCAAGCTAGCGGATTCCCGCTCATTTTCTTTGACTTTAGTCTCTGCAAACTTCGTTTCACCTTGCGATGGACCGCTGCGGACCCTACGAGTAACCCTCGCAATCCAGCACCGTGAGCGGACTGCAGGGTCACGCGACACTCAGAAAGCACTGGATTGGTTTCGATGGCTCTCGTGCTGTCTGTTGAGGTCCATCGTAAGGTGAAGTAGACCATCGTCGCCGCTCTTGGTGTGACCGAACTGACTAGACCTCCAGAAAGACCGTCCCGCGCCTGACAAGGCACGACCGTTGCTGTGAGGGCAACTGAGAAGGAGAGCTGGGTGCTAGCTGCCACTGAGGTTTTGGCTTCCGCGCGTCTCGGGTGTCCTGCCTGCATTCGTGCTCCTTGTCCTGGACCCTATTTGAGGCGGTGAGAAGTCAGTTGGACGGTGTTGATGAGGAAACACGGGGAATGTCAATTCGAGCGGTGCGGTATTACCCCGTTAATTGCATCTTGATGTGAAGAGCTTTGTCAACGCTCATTTCCCGACCCGTCGCCACTACGCGAACAACCGACACCGAGGAAGAAGAATGAATCGGTTGGTACCGTCTGCTGCCTGAACCCGCCACTCGATCAGCGCGAAGAGGAGCATCACAATTCGGACGAGAAGACAAGATAAATACAGATCGAGTCATGGCATCGTAGAAGACATTTTTCTACATTAGTCGAGAAGAAAATAAACAAGCTGCACGCTGAAAGTTGTGTAACGAAACTATACAACGTGCAGTCGGCGTATATCATCGAGCTTTATTCGCCATCTGAAGAGGAAACACGAGAATGAGTATGCGAAGGGTGGAAAAGGGCAGGCGAGCCAGCCAAAAATTGAATTGAATATGATAAGAAATATCGAGATTCGTAAAGCAAGCGTGATGCGTTTTAAAACAGGTGTCGTGACATGGTCTACACGGTCCCTCGTGCTGTGCCGCAGAGGTTGCATTTTGTCAGAGGATGTGTTCTGCGGCTATGCATGGAGTCGCTTCCAGCAGTGTACTAGCCGTGTTGCTGTATTTGAAGAATACAGTAATATAGCTTATTCCTGCGCCACGCACGAACTGGATATTTTTTATGGTCTTATGAAAAAAACACGCTGGCCGCGTATGTCTTAAAAGTCAAATGCAAAAAAAAAAAGTTTAAAAAAGAAAAGAAAATGAGTGGATTTAAGTTTAGCTGTTTATTGCGAGCCATGTGGTCGCGATACCGATGCCTTAAACAAGCATCGACATAGCAAGGGGCTTTCTCGGTGTTTGCAGTACATTTTAAATAAACACTTTCTGCCACCAGTGGTCCGCTTCGTAAAAGTCAGTGCTTTTTTGAGGAATTTAGCATTTTTGTTTCAATTGTATCTGCATTTCATAATGTCGGCTTTATGCTGCTTATGCCGGCAACAAAATGTAGCTGTCAAGTGCCCATTTTTACGTTTAGGAATTAAAGGAATGAAATGGAACGATTCAGCCATTCCAGGAGTGGGAATGGGCTCAGTGTCTCAATTCCTAGGAATTGAAAGGAATTGAATTATCGAAAACTTTAATTCCCCGGAATGAAATTGGAATGGAATGGGGGTGCCCATTCCGCAGCACTGCGCTGTAGCTTGGTGGCGTTGCAACGCTGCCGCTTCGCTGCTTGGTGGCTTGGCTCACTGCCCGCTAGATTGCGAGGGCTGTACTGGTTGGTCATCACTCCTGCATTCCAGCTCATATCGCTAGACATTGTACCTCGTGCACATTTCATTTTAAAAATCCCGGAAAAATATTTTAAGCAACCGTTGTGCATATTACGGTCTTGCGTTTTTGTAACGAAATGTTATTGCATTGTCATGTTTCTTGTATTTCCTGCTTTTTCTTTTTTTGCCCCTTTGATGTTTTTGTTGTTGCCCACTGAGCAATGCAAACGCGTAGCAGGGCCTCATCCGGCAGAGAAATTATGCCTTGTGCCTTGCTTCTCTAAATCTCGTGTCTGTATATAAAAAAAAGCTTAAGAACAAACAAAATGGAGAGGTGTTTTGAGGGGTGTGATTTTGAAAGAAACACGAAATATAGATGGAATTGTCTGGTTTTTAAAGTTCACTGATGAACACTGACCAACACTTCCTACAAAAATATACGGTACTTGGTACTCGATACTTTTCATTCGATGAATATTTCTGTGTTGTTTCAGCTTAAAAACAAATTAATCCACTTTCTGTAAAAGGCGCCGAAAATGGTAAATATAGCCTTCGCAACATCATTTCACAATCCTTAACTGTAAGGTTGGTTAATTCAATCATTAAAAAAAAAATAGATATTTTACAAATTCGACAAGAAATGAGAAAAACACAATAAAGTCCTCAAGTAAAAGATTAATTCTTGTTGGTGAAGTTCGCATCTGCGGCTCATCGCAGCCAAAGAATACTGACATCTACAGAGTCACCACAAGTCTCCGCTCGTGAATGACCCAACTGGTTTAAAGCACGCTGTTTTGCGTTGTACTGATCTTGCAAGTCATCGTCTGTAACCGTTCTGTTCTGACACTGCGTTCTTTTGTGACGCGTTACTTTGGCCGTGGTCAATTTTTGTCGCCGCTGGGCTTTCTTTGACGTTGTGTTGCAGTGCTGTCCCAGTTGCCGAAAAACCTGCCGCCCTGGGGTTACACGTGAGTTCATGAAAAATAAAGACGTTGCGAGATTCGTTATCGTCCTCCAAATGTAGCAAAATACATTTATTTACAAAAATATAACGAATGTTACTTTTAAGTTATTTTAAATTTATTCATGTCTGGCAGCAAAGAGCCGCGGACGCGAACTTCGACAAGAATTAAACTTTTACATAAGGACTTCATAGTGTTTGCCAAATTTCTTTATCAGATCTATAAGAATATTTTTTTTTTATTCCTATTGAGTTTACGTTAGTGTCTCAGTGAAGGATTCTGAAACGATGCCTCAAAGAAGGCATTTTCTATCTTCGGTGCAGTTTTAAGAATACGATATAATGTACTAATTAGCACAAACAAAACAAATGTGTTAATCAAACATATCGAGTAACATATGACGTAATTTGAAAGACGATAGTTAATTAATACAAAAAATACTTTACTATGTAGCTTTTTAGAAATCTAACGATCACGTTACTGCGTTACTGACATGAGTAACGTGTACCACACCTAACGTCGTTGCTTGCAACGCTTTACTTCCAACACTGCTGGGTTTTATTAGAGTTCTGCTATTTCTACAGTGTTTTTTTATCGCATGTTCTTTTACAGGGTACTGTCCTGTCGCTTTCAAGTTTTGATACATATTAAGCACGTACTGAATAATTTTTTGTGTTTCATTTGTGCAGCTCTTCAAAATGAGGAAGACGTATTACGTAGCAGCGAGTACAGTCCGAAGAGGTCCCTTGGAGTTTCCACGTTATGATTCCTACTGTGGTGAAGTGAGCGTGATAAGATCAGACGTGCCCTTTTTAATAGAGAGGCGCTTTCTTTATTACGCTAAAGGAAGATGGCATTGGTATGTAGTCACAAAACCCGCAATTATGTAAAAAGTGATTCTGTAGAAGATTCTGATTGACAGATTGCTAAATTGAGTGCATGTACCGCTGCGCTCGCATAGCGTCCACGTTTTATCAACATTTACCACCGTTGAGACTCTCTTGAAGGAGAGTTTTCATCAGTCGGCTCCTTGTGAGGCAGTCAGAGATATTCGTGTTTTTTTTTTGGACTTGTGACTCATATAGGATACGTTTTCAATATTATAAATCGTAGCCTCTGCATAGAGAATGTTTTGAACATAGCCCTATTACCAGATGCCAGGGCCCCGCACACAACCGCTCGTGCGCTTATGTGGGATATGGGAACTGCCATATAAATTTTGAAGTATGATAAACTGTTGTTACCATTATTAAAATAAGTAAAGAAGTAAAAAAATTGTTTCTTCAAGATCGTTGCGAACTATTTTGTGTCATATGAGATATTGTTTCACGTGCGCCAGACAGACTTCGGCTCCAATTTTTTATTCAACCCTTATTATTACTAAGCGCACACATTACGCCGTCATATTCTAAACATGATGCCGGGACACGAAAGAAAAAAGAATTATCCGGTAAAAGAAGCACCGCTAGTTTGTTCAATGAAAAAATTGTTTCAGGCTTAAGGCGAACTACAGCGTGAGCATTGAGACAGACTGGACTGGGGAAACGCCTAGAGACTATGCTGCGGTTACATCTATGCACGGAATGAAAAGTATGTTAGTTTATTTACAATGCCAACTATGACTGCCTTCCCACGCTTTGTTTGAAGAGAAACGCACGATTTGTTTCCCCCGATAGCACTCGTGCAAGCTCTATATCTACTTTGGTTAGAAAACAACACTTGCGCTCTTTTCTACGACAAGCATTCAGGTAAGTACACGCTACTTCGCAAGTCAGTGTAGTGGTGAGTGAAACTTAAACTTCTTGGAAATATTGACTACCAATCATTTTTGAAAAACAAATCTATAAATGCGGGAAATTTAAACTTTTTTTCGGATCCTCAGTTGCACGCATCACTCAACATTCGTATTCACGGCACAGGGCGCAAGTTTACTTCCATTCTAAAACTTAATTACATGACTAATTGCCTTGCTGATACAGCTGACATGCGATGCAGTTACAATACGAACAGTCACATTTAATATATAAATAATAAAAATTATACATTACTGTTAAGTAACGAATGATTTTGTTAGAAATAAGTAAGATTCGTTTTAGAAAAGTCTATCTTTCTACAGTTGCGTCGGCATTGTTTTTTTTTTATCGGCCTATGTTCGTGTCTGCATTTTTGGGCGTCGTCCGCCTCCACGCGCGGGGGGCTTCGAGCAGCCACGGCGCTTGGGGGCGAAGAGTCGGACCCCGGTCGTTAAGAAACGTCTCGGGTTTCAGTTTGGGGCGCGGGAACACCCTGTCTTGGGCTTCTGTCCGCACTTGTGGCTTTTAAGCGGGTGTGCTTGTGTCCGGCGTATTTCGCCGCTTAGTGTAGAAACTTCGCTTTGAATCGACGCAATAACTTAACTTGGTGGCGCCAGCCAGACGGCGAAGAAAGCATGTAGTGACTCTACAAAGAATTTGGGTTTGAGCGTTGAGGTGTCAGAGGGAAGTCACGTTGACAGCACGCTGATCATTGGGTAAGAGTGTACCACGTGACAATGGGCAAATTTGAAGTGATTGGTCCGTTTCTGGAAGGAAAGGAGGCCCCTACGAGTCTAGAAAAGGGCTACCGAGGGGATTCTCCGAGACTCGGCTTTTGGGATCAGGTAGATTCGGTTCTTGAGACTGGGCGACTAAAGTATGGGTTTTCATTTTGGGAGTTCTGTAGTGTAAATTACTGTTGACTTGTTGTCGTTTTGTTTGGAAATAAATGTGGCCACACTGGCCATCGTAAACCAACCAACGTCGTAATGTGTCCAGCGGGATCGGACAACTTTTATATTTTTTTCTTATTCGACTTCCCGAGGGACTTGCATCGGGCGAACATCATCATCGGTCGTCTCGTCACCATCCTGACCGACCAGCCTCCTCGTCTCGGAAAGTTGACTGTTACTTTTATACAATTATAAAACGAGCAATTAATGATTTTTATCTAGAGAACATATCTGTAAAATACTTTGCAATAGTCCATTTTTCCAGTCTGCTACACCAATCCCGAAGTATCGTGAATCTGATCGCGAGGAAATAGAGGCGGGTTTTATTGGCCAGAGGACTCCTAGTTAGTTTTGGTGAGCCTTGATGAATCAAGATTATTCACTTCTTCACTGTCTCTGGTGGTTAAGGACGGCTAAACTAGATATGCTTGCTTGCTTTTTTCCCGTTTATTACGATACCGCACTGAAGAAAAGAAAAATAAAGAACCAGAAAAAAAAAAGGGGGGGGGGGGGCTGCCAAGTTCTGTTGCTAGTAAAAATATACTGAAATTTGTATCATCACAAAAAAAAATATTTGGTTTGTGATAGCCCTAGGTTTTATCAGCAGTCTCTAACGCTGCATTTCACCTCATCAATTGTCACGAATGACAATTGATGAGGCAATGATAACTGAAGAAACTAAACGTTTAATGGGGCCGAACTTACGCCAAAAACAAAAAGGAAACAGAAGATAACAGTAGTGCGTCGAGGGTTTCCGGAACACTCGGCGTAGAACTTTCGGCACGTAGAACATTCTGAACTCGATCAGACGAGAATGTTCTCGAACTTATGAGAACGCCAAGTCTAAAGAATAAATAAAGAGACATTCAACTGACTGGAATCGAACCTAGACCTTCTGCGCGACAGTCAAGCGCGGTAACCATTCGGCCACGAAAGCGCTCTCCCGGTGCGGCGCGTGGCAGTATCATAACAATTAACAAAATATTTGGTTTGTGATCGCTTTAAGTTTTATCAGCAGTCTTTTACCCTGCACTTCACGTACCCCCTCCTGAACTATAGAATCTGTTCTGTTGAAAGTATGCGCATCTTGCTCGTCCTCTTCCGAAAACCAAATTTAGAATAGAGATGTCATAGCTGTTTCGGGAACGAAGGTTACCCCTCTGAATTCGTGCTTAAGCTGGTGGATGTTTTGTTTCAATATCATTATGTGGCATTAACTATTGCAGGCTTCCAACTTCCAGCGGTTGATGTGATTTTTTCTTCCTGGCGTGTCCATAACTTCTTTACTGTAGTCTGTTTATTGTTCTCTCCCCACCCCCCCTTCCCGGTGCTAGGCAATTCCGTGCTGTTTCATTTGTAAAACAAAGAAACGTGACCCTGGTTTTTTTATACGAAAAAAATGTATATATACAGCAAAGGTGTAACCGTAATTCAGTAATTTTATTATCATTATCATCTCAGTATAATTTATTACATCAGTAAGATAACAGCACCCAAAAGTGATAAATTATATTACTAGTAAAACAACAAGAAATAATTTAATTACAGTAATAGCCTTACTGCCACCTATGGGGCACGGTATCTACACAATGAAACCTCTCCGCGCGACTGCTTCAAAACAAAGCACGCGGTGGTTCAATTTGTGCAACTTATTGAGCTCGTACAGCGAAAAACAAGAGTTGGAGGAAGACTAAACTGCCCATAAGCATTCTTTAAGCTGAATAGATAGGGCACGCATGTTACAAGATGAGCTGTCTCCAAAGAAATGTTTTTTGCGCAATATATACCTCGCGAGTCACAATTTCTGTTAGAAGCAATTCTGGAACATGCTTCAATATTTCTTTATACTACTTCCCCTAAAGTTTTTTCAATCATTAAAATAAATCAGTGATGCAAGTACGCAAATATATATATATATTTTTTTTTGTAGAGACGGAAAGTGCATTTTGCAACGTAATACGTGTCCTATAGAACCACTAAAAAAAATTATAAAGTTGCTTTTTGCATTTTTTTGCGCCGCGTTTGCCTCCTTCCATCGAGCGCTCTATTTAAACGCTCAAGTGCAGCGACGTGTTTGCCATCAAGCGAGGGAAGCTTTCGGACGTCTATTGCGAGAGGAAACCGCGGCATGTTTACAACATGAAGAAGTATGGGTACTCTGCTTGCATTTCATTCAATAAAGATGGGGATGGAGAATTCTGTACTTTTTTTTTAGTTAGAAAAAGTAACTAAAATTAACGTCTTTACTTTTTTTATTAGCTTTGATTGTAGTGAATTACTCTTTTGTTGCGGTAACTGGGTAACTTTCCAAATTTTTTTTTAGAAAATATTTATAACAGCATCAAATTATGTTTTGAAGACAGTGTCAAACTCACTACTGGGCCTTGAAAATTTTTGGTTTTATATCTAACTTTTGATTGAGCCACCCGTTCCTTTTGACATTTTCCTAAACAAATAAACAATTTGTATCTCGTTTCGCTTGAAGTTGGACCGCATCCGACGCGGCGTTCCAATGGAGCCAATGAAGCAAGGTCGAAAGTTGTGGAATCTTCCTCGCTGCTACGCGTCTCGGAGAATGGCACAACGCACTCGTATTTTATACTCCGTCTCACTAAAACCGTGCAGTACAGCCAAAGCTAGAGGGGAGAGAGCGTATGCTAACCTGTTGAAGAGGAGGGAAAGGAGGAACAGGAAAGAAGGGCTGGGATTCCCCCGTTCCTTCTTTCTCTCCTTTTGAACAGGTCGGGATGCATTCTCTCCCCTCTAGCTTTGGCTGTACTGCACGGTTTTAGTGAGACCGCGCGCGAGCTAAAGAGCTCTCGCGCATACGCTGCGACGGTCTTTCATGGCGGTGGAGCGCCGCTCGCATCGCCAATTCGCGACTCCAGCAAAACGGACGCCGCCAAGCGGGAAAACCGGGAACCAGTCGGTCCAGGTCGCTCCGCGCCCCGCCGCGTCTCTGATGGCTTTCGCGGACACGTGCTGTCGGCGCGGGGGCGAGCAATGTAATTTGACGAAGGTCCGAAAATTTCTTAAGTTTGCCTGAGTGTTCATTAGTGTGGTGAAGCCTCAGCAGATTGTTTCTTTCCATCACGTGTTTGAAAGCCCGTTTACTCCACTTCACACGGTCGCGTGCTTTCAATTTTTTGGATGAGGAGGAATCACGGAAAAACGTTTTGATTTCTCGTCTGTCTCTAATCACATTCAAAGTGACGACTGCTTGGTAACTGATAAGTGGTTTCTTTATAAGGATGTAGAACAGTGGACTGAGGTCGACAGACGAAGTGTTTCACTGGAGGAAACACCAATGTTGCAGTCAAGTGAATGGGAAGGTTCGATAGCTGCTTTCCTTGAGTTTGGTTGTGCTCGATTAGCTTCAATTTAATTTAGCCACTAACGCCGGCCGGTGCGTTGGCTATTCATCTTGGCGGCTTTTCGCTGAAAAAGACCACATTGAAGGAGTTGGGCTAATTTCGCAATTACTTGATTCAGAAAATTTGCTCGCTGCATATGATTAACGAGGGAAATTATCTGCTTTCAAAAGGTGGGGGACGCGTCTCGAAAAGTTAGAAGCTGTCACGTCATTAGGATCTATCGCGCCTCCAATATTTATATTATAACCCCTGTCGAAGCCAGCAGCAATATACGTCTACATTGCTCAGGTTGACCGGCCACAACAAATACTCATTTTATCCGTTCAGGATTCAAAGTCAAGTTCAATGCAGAGAGGTCTGAGTGAATCTCTGATGAAGACTCTCCTCAGTTTGTCCGCATTCGTCTCCGTTCTACCGGCTAGAACCATTTGGCTAAGTTTAAGTAGTATCTCTCTGTCAGTCAAATATACTTTTATTCAGCAGTTCACCTAATAGTTAGTTAATTAAGTTTATATTTCAACCCGGAGAATATACTAATATCGCTTTAGTGGGACCATAGTACGTAATATAATACATAATCCGCATATTCGTCAAAATGACTTCTCGGTTGCTACTAAAACCTGAAATG